GACCGGCGCGAGTACTCCGATGGACGAGGGCCTCGACATCCCGAGTCCTGGGAGGAAACACACAATATCGCGTTCGAGATCGAGAAGCATAGCCGGGACTCGGATGCGATTCGAAGGGATACGGGAAGCTCCCGCCAAGGAGCGATGTCGATGTCGGGCGGGCTCGCGGAAGGGGAGAACGGTCACCCCCAAGGGAACCTCATGGTCCCAGGGCTGCTGGGAGCAGCGGGTGAAGTGCCCCCTCCGCCTGCGCCTTACTACGACCCCGACTTCGAGATGAATTTCCCGTCGGAGCTCGATTGCGGGCACTCTTTCCGTACGATCCTGGACCACTGCGATGATTGCCAGGTCTGCCACGCAGTCTACGCGGCGTTGAGGAATAATCGGGAACGAGTCTCTTTCCGCAACAGTCCTCAGACGCGTCCGAGTTCAGCTGACTGGACAGGAGACCGTGGTGCGCGAGCGGGGGCCGTCCCCGGAGGCAAAGGCGCTGAGAAAGGGCGGCCTGTTTCGTCCAGAACGAATGGGCCAGGCTCAGGGAGGACGTACGCTAGCAACCGTGCTGGAGATCATACGTGCTGGAGAGAACGGGACCTGATGGCTCGTGAAAGCAAGCCCCCTGGCTGCTGCGACAGGCCGAACTGCCCGTGGAAGCATGTCAACGACCTGGCGGAGACTGGCCCGCACGTGGGAGTCGCGGACCAGGGATCGGCTGACCTGTCCCGTTGGGCGGTCCGCAGGCACGTGGTGGGCCCGACGACATACGGAGGCTGCTGTCCGAATCCAAGAGACTGCGGGAAGTCGCACTGTGAGCTAGCGGCAGCCTTCATTCGGAAGCAGATCTTTCCGAACACCAGGAACCCCGGGCCAGGGACAGGCGGAAGGCGTCAGACACCAGAGAGGAGCCGCCGAAGCCCTGGGCCACGAACGGATCGGAGGACCCCGTCTGGAAATCGGGGAGACCGACGAGACCGGGAGCGGAATTCCAGCCGAGACAGGCGACTGAGTCGTGAAGATGAGCGACGTGATCGGGATCGACGCAGCCAAGAGCGGAATTCTAACCGTGACCGACGACCGAGTCGTGAAGATGAGCGAGCGTCTCGGGCACCAGGGAGCAAACGAGAGTCGCGACCAGAACGGCCTGACGTCAGAGGGCTTCTGGGAGCTGGGGCCCTCAGAGCGGCTGACAATGGAGAAACTTCCAGCACGAACGGCTGGGATGCTCCTCGAGGGCCGGGCGCTGACCGAGCAGTACAGGCAGCGGGCCGCGACGGTTATGCGAAGTCTGACCAGGATGGAGGACAAGTTGCCCCAGGGCGTAGCTATGGCGGAGCGATGATGGAGTGTGTCGCGTCGGACTCGGAAGACGATAGGCGCCAGCTCTCAGACGGCGTGCAGCCCTACGTCAAAGAGAACGACCTGATTGGCTGGAGCGGCGCAGGAGAGCAGGGTCTACAGCACGCACTAGAGCAGCGAGATTCGGCTGGATTAAAGAACAAGACGACGGTGCTGCAGAAACTGATGGATTTGCCGAAGAAATGCTGGACCAAGAGCAGGAATGAAAGCCGAGGGTGCCAGCACTGCGCGAAGATTCAGTTCGGAGTCCTCACGCTGGAAGTGATGTTCGAATTCGGCGCCGGGCTGAACACCATCCCCGATGAGGCCCTTGTCGCTATCATCAACGCGTGCGAGGCGGCCGGGATCAGGATGTCGAATCCGAGGCACCCGGTCGTCGAGCTGCAGCCTTGGGCGATGGAGGAGACCTGCAAAGGAGCGGCAGGAGGAGTCGCAGTTCCGCTGATCGGCGCCGTCATCCTGGCGATGACGTTCATCGACCGCAATACCGGCAGGGCTCAGACTGTCAGCGCGAGGTTCAAGATCCTGGCTTCTGGTGCGACTGACTGGGTGCCGATCATCCTGGGCGGCATGGCTATCAACAGCGTCGAGCGCGGAGGCCTCGGGACACAGCCCCAGAAGAATAGCTTCTACGTGTCAGCCTTAGGGATGAGCATTTCTATGAGTGAACGCTCCACGAGGGGTCGTTACGGACGCCCTACGGACACACAGAAGTTGGAGGAACTGGTCTTTGCCAGCCTGTCGGAAGTCGTCATCTCCGCGTTCGATTCCGACTTCGACTCAGACGGACCGGAGTCTGACCAGGACGAGGAGCCGTGGCAGTATGAGACCGTAGCAGGCCTGGCCGCTACCGGAAGTGCTGTCCGATTCGACCGGACTCCCGAGTTCGATCGCCAGGCCAGGAGCTACGATTGCGACGTGTTAGATGAGCTGGTGCTGGACGCGGAAGAAGTAGTCGTGCCGACTGGGGGCGGAGTGTGGATCCCAGTTCGCCGTCGGCGATTGTCCGATCACGGGGAGGGCGCACAGCCGCAGTTTCGAGCCGAAGACTACGATCCGGCGAGACAGGACGAGCGCCAGCCGTCCCCGATTGCCTCGTCGGAGATCGCCGTTCCGCTGCTCGGTGGACCGGAAGTCGTTACGGGTATATGGCCTGTGGACTCGGACAAATGGATGGTAGTAGTAGTGAACCCAGACGGAGACGACCTGCCGCTATTCGACGGAGGCCGAGTCGCCGCGGTGATGCCGGCCGCGGTCCAGACCAGAACATGTACGGAGTGCGGGATGGTGGACACCGACGGCTTCGTTTCGGACGTCGTGATGTGCGACGCCTGCGGGACCTTGGTGGCCAAAGGCCCGAACCCTTGCGCCGGGTGTGGCGCGGGGATCGACTGCATCCGGACTCAGCTCTATGCGGGTTGCGAGAGCTGCAGAGGACTGGTTCAACCGATCAGCGAAGGATCGGCGAAAGAGGTGGCCTTTCTGGAGCAAACAGCCGGTCGTCAGGACCGGAAAGAGAACCCCTGCTTCTACGTCGACGAAATGAAGAGCGCGTCGACGAGGTGGGCACCTGCGCCGAACCACGTGGGTCACATCATCGAGGAGCTGGATGGGATCCGACACATGGTTGATTGCCAAGTCCCTCCAGAGGCGTATAACGTGGAGCTCGAAAAAGACATGGTTCGCAGGCATCCTAGAGCGAATAAGCGCGTCATTAGCCACCTCCAAGCCCTGGAAGCCTTCTTCGACAACTCGATTTTGGCAGGATTCCCGTTAGGCGTAGAGAAAGCCCTTCTGCTCCGGACGAAGGCGACGTTGTTAGGGAATCTTGTCGGCCGTTTCGGATATACTGCGGACCCTGAGAAGACTGAAGCGATCATGAAGTTTGACCCGCTGAAGGAACATAACCATGTGCGACAGTTCCTCGGGTGCACGAACTGGGTCCGCTGGTTTTTGGAAGATTACTACGCGGTGGCGGCGAAAATCTTGGGACAATTCAGTGAGATTGATGTCTGGGTACCTCCAACTATGCAGAGCACCTGACCCCACTAATCCAGGAAGCAACCTAAACGTGCTTCCTGGAATGTGTTCGATGCAAGCGACGTTGCAAAAGCATAACGACACTCGCGCAATGCAAATGATACCGCATGCAACTACAATGCATAGACCCCAAGCGGTCACACTCGCATGCTTCAAGTTTAAATGAGAGCACACAGGGTGACAGCGAAGGCCTTTTACCACACGTCTCACGTGCTAGCGTTGCAAATGGCGCACATCATCACACACACCACTACACCACCGCCAGCAACGTCAGCCTACATTGCACCCAACATCGCAAACATTCTCGACATCCACCTCATCATTCTCATCACCGTCCTGCCCGTCGGCATCCTCGTCATCACCCTCCCTACCATCCCTATCTCATCTTGCCGCGGCGGCGGCTGGCTGCGACGACGGCAACGATGACCACGATGGCGACGACTACGGATGACGACGAAAGGCTACCGACGACGTTTGGCGACCGGCGTCGAGAGCTGAGTCCGACGGTGATGGCCTGAGACAGGCCGACCGATGGCGAAGACGAACAACGGCGATCGACGGCACCCGACGGCGACCGACAGCTACTGCCAGTGCGACGACGGCGTCGACGGAGGCGCCGAGGACGACGTCGACTCTGTGCCGACGACGGCGACTCGACGGTCGACGAGTCGACGAGTCGCGGCGACACGGCGTCGACGGCGGCGGCCACGGCGACGGCGACGACAGCGGCGACGCCAGCGCTGCACGCCGCGCGGCAGCGTTTTCGCGGGGCCGCTGCGCGCCACCGCGCGCAGCCCAGTCCAGGCGGCGCCGCGCGCAAGCACCCGGGGACCGGGGGCGGCGGGCAAGAGGTCAGCAAGACAGAGCGAGGGAGGGGGCGGGCGGAGGAAGGATACGAATGCGAGTGAGGGGAGGTGAGATCGATGATGTAGTGGAGAGGTGGAAAGGAGGGGGCATGGGGAATGCGATGAGAGAGGAGATCAAGCGGGGTGAGGGAGGGGGTTGGGATGGGTATAAGGTAAGAGGGGTAAGATGTAACAGGTGAAGGGTGATGGATGGCGAGGCGAGGGGTACTCGTTGAGTCGGAGACGAAGGCGCGAAGATACAGCAGAAGATATGGTAGGATAGACGCAGGACAAGGGACGTGAGGCACGTTTCCGATCGAAGAGCGCGCGCACCCCAGCGCAGGACCGTGCGGCAGCACAGATGTGAGTAATGCGAGTGGCCACCTCGTCTCCTCGATTCGTCTCCTCTCCTCCTCCTCATCGCCATCCTCGCATCACCGTTCGCATCATCAAACCCAACGGTGATACTCACATGTAAGACATGAGCCGGCAGTCGCACTGCCATGCCAATGTTGCGCCCCGCATAGACTACGACAGGCGCGAGCCGAGACCATCTGGTCACTGGTCGCGGAGGCAGGGGGCAGTGAGAGGGAACGACGGCGGCGGTGAAGTTGCGCCGTCCAACGCGGGGTAGCCGCGCCCTCAATCACCAGCCAACCGTGCGGACACAGGCTACACAGGAACCAGCGCACTGCCCAACACCAGTTCGCATGCGAGCCAAGCTGACCAGATACAGAATTACTGCACTAATTCAACTCCTCAACTCAGCAAGTGCTGGCACGAGCACTTCTTCTTCCTCTGACCCTGCTGAGGCTGAGCCTGAGCCCCGCCCGTCACGCCCGTCTGGCCTGTCTCCGCGCCAGCCTCGATAGCGGCGAGCTTGGCCATATGCACCGACGCCGCGGTGGGCCCGAAGAGCGCGGAAACGTCGGCCGGCGGCTGGTTCGCGCACCGAGACTTCCTCTGCTTCGGCATGCACTCGCCAGGCAGCACCGCGCGCACCAGCTCGACTGGCCCTGCCTCACACGCATCAGGCGCACGCGGAGCTCCTGTCGAATCTGCCGACTGTGCCGAGAGGTACGTCACCTGCGCACGCGCGGTGGGACGGATGCGCGTCGGCGAGGGGGTAGTGGCACCAAGTGCCACGTACTCACCCCGCCCACAGGCATATGTCCCATCACGAGTCTCGAGCGTATAAGCCTCCGCATCATAAGCATCATCGTCCTCACTCCCTTATATCCCACATCGTCCTGCCCCCATCGCAGTCGCATCCACCCTCCTCCGCCTCCACCATCCACCACCTTCATATCGTCCCTCCCACATCTCATCCATCATGATCATTTTCAGGAGTGAGGCGAGGGTGAGAAGGGTCACCTGGATATTGATAGCCGTCGTCGCGTCCGCATTCTTCACCAGGTAGCCTGGCAGATCAAGCCGCACGATGCGCTTCTGACCAATCAGGTTGGCCTCCTTCGCGTCGGTAGCCACTCGCACCATCCACGCTGGCACGGGGCACTTGGAGGTGGCCGCATCTGACTTGTCGGGGACCACGTAGATCCCCATGAGAAGCGAGTCCCTGGGGTCCGTGGCCGGTACCTTGATCGCACACAGCAAGTGCGAGCGGCTCCCGCGCGAGAGACTGACCTCACCAGTGAAGACGAGCTCCTTCAAGTCGTCCAGGCTGCTAGCGACGACCTTATGCTGGGGCGGTTTCGGCCTACTACCACCAGCCGCAGCGTCATCTGCTGGAACCCACTCGATTGCGATGCGGTCCAGCTGCTCGGAGTTCGGCAGGCCATATGCAATGCGATCCAGCATGGGCCCAATAAAATTCATAAACATGCGAAGCCAGTACGCTGTAGGAAATTCTCCCGTCGGCATCTCATACGCGCACTCGGGAGGGGGCTTCGAGCCGTCGCCGCACAACTCACCCGCCAGGTTGATGTGCGAGCCGGCTGCCAGGGCGATCGCCTCCGAGTTCTTGAACCTGCGGAGGCGCGGGGATGGATGGGGAGGGGGTCAGGGAGTTGGCAGGGGTTGGTGATGTTGTGAAGAAATGCTGGATTCAGATTTGCAGGAGACACGTGCAAAGGAAATGCACGGGCGGGCAAGGGGAGAGCGAGGAGGAGGTTGCAAAGGAGGAGGAAGTGCTGGGAGCTCGGGGGCGTGGTAGAGGGGGGGGGGAGCACGAAGAGGAGGGGGGAGAAGAGGAGGAGGAGGAGGAGGAAGAAGAGGAGAGGAGGCAGAGACGGAGGAGGAAGAGACGGAGGGGAGGAGGAGGAGGAGGAGGAAGAGGCGGAGAAGGAGGAGAAGAGGAGGCGCAGCAGCAGAAGCAGCAATCCTCAGTGTCATCCTCCTCTCCCCTCCAGTCCGCATCACCATCCTCATCCTCGTCCTCCCCCTCCTCCTCCGCCACTGCCTCATCCGCGTCCTCCTCATCTCATCCTCGCATCCTACCTCATCATCCACGTCCTCCTCCTCATCCTCACCACGTCCATCATTGACCATCATCGCTCACCGTCCACTCATCCCTCCTTCCTGCTACTCAGCTACATGCATGTACGATGCCGAGTGAACCCGTAGATGTCCACGAAGGGTATCGCCTGCGGCGGCCAGGCGTACCCGCACTGCTCGGCCTCCACCAGCGCGCCGTCGAAGTTGGTCAGGGCGGCCTGCGAGTCAGCAGCAGGAGGTGCACCGTCGGTCGCAGCCGACGGCGACGCAGTCGCACTGGTCGCTGGAGAGGGCGCATGAGCCTCTGGGAGCGTGTACTTGGTCAAGATGGTCTCGCGGAGCGAGTCGTGCGAGGTGGCGCCGGCGTACGCGCCCGTCACAAACGCAGTGTAGGCTGGCACCCACTGGTCGAACTTCAGGCGACGATCCACGTCGCGCAAGTGGGTACTAGCATCCCTGGCGGACGATGTCAACTTCGCCAAGTCGAGGCGGCCGTGAGACCCGGAGAGGTTCACGAAATCATCGCTAGTGGAAAGGATGTCGCTGATGGCCAGGTGCGCGTAGACAGGCCTCAGGCGCATGAAGTCGATGAGCTCCGACACGTTCTTGAAGTACTTCAGCATGCAGGCAGGCATCTGGGCCGTTAACTGCACGTACTGGCATGTCAGCTGGCACATCTCCATCATGGAGGAGTCGAACACATCCGATAGCTTATCGTACACCGGTGAGAGAAGATGCTGCAGGAAGGTAGCCAGTACAACCTCCGCGTCGCCACTGCCAGATGCGGCCTCGGCCAGCGAACGACCAATCTCGCCGTTGTTGGCTCCAAGGTGGTCGGCCAGCGCATCGATGATGCCGCGGCAGGAAGGATGGCGCTTCGGCTGCGTGGTCTTAATCTTGTTGGTAGAGGTGAAATCACTGAGCCGCTCGCCACACTCGGACCCCGCAGCAGTCTGCAGCGCGTCCAGGAGCCTCGACTGCTCTGTCGGTCGGATGGCGGGCGCGCTGGCAGCAGGCGTGGCGTTCTCGAGGCTGGCCACGATGATATCGGGAACGGTCATCTCGACTCTGTCGATGTCGCCATCAGCACCGATAGCACCGACGCGGCTCATGGCTGTAGCAGCTGCAAGGTCACGAAGCTTTGGACGCAGATCTGACCACTTCTCGTACGTGACGTATCCCAGGCGCACCTTGGTCTCGAAGCAAAACTCAAGGGCTGGGCCGAGCAACTGCATGATAATCGCGTGTTCATCGCTCGGGTAAGCTGACAGTCGGCCATTGCTGACCGAATAGCATGAAGGGCGCCCAGCAGCCACACCTGGTGTTGCTCAAAGTTGGCACCGGTGAAATCCTCCTTCGGCGCGCCCTTCGAGGAGCTCTTCCCCGCTCCCGAGCGGCCTGAGGTCCTGGCATTGGGATCAGATGGTGCTGTCGGCGGCCGCGCAGCCTTCTCCTTCAGTTTCCGCGCAGCCTCGATGCCGCGCTTGACGACAATGCTGTCCGACATCGCCTGAACCAACCATTTGCACTTGTCCTGCTGGATGCGGTCGAAGACCATGGGCGGCGCGCGTCCGCCAGCAGCGGGCATCTTCACAGGAACGCACATCGGGAGGACGCTGAACCATACGAGCTTCAAGATGTCGAGATCGACGACCGAGCGGACTGTGTCATGGAATATTGACACAGCGATCTGGTGCAGGGTGAAGCACGCAACAGTATTGTCCATGCGCTTGTCGCGGAAGAGGCAATTGGCACCGAGATAATTGCGTGTCTCCTCGGTTATCTTGAACCGCTTCATCAAGTTAACGAGTGCCTGGGGAACCGTAATCGTACATGCGATGGGGCCCGACGATGGGGGGATACAACGCAGTCCTCAGGGCGCTTGGGCTGCGACTCACTCGGCCCAACAAGGGCCATGGCGGATCGCCGAACCATCCAAGACAACCCCCACGCGGAACCTCAGATATAGACGACGTGTCGGATGACATCTCCTGGGCTCCGGGCTCCTGGACTCCTGGACTCCTGGACTTATCGTGCCAGACTGGCGTCTATGACGTGCGTCACACGGTGGGGTGCGGCGGATAAGCGAAGCTGAATTTGAACAAGTGGACCGTCGCAGATTGCATCTCGTTGCCGCTCTTGATACGCCTGTCCTTCTCGGGGTACGTGGCACACACCCAGTCCCACGTGGAGGCGTAGGTCTCCCCGCTGCTGGTGCGCCCGGTCTTGTGGCCCGCCATGCACTCCCTGGTGAGGTCGAAGTACTGCAGCAACGTGAAAGCGGATCCACCGTGCCACGCGTTGTGGAAGTTCAGCAACAACATTATCACATCTTTCGGCGTACGATGATCCAAGACTGTCATGTTGCGAAGCCCCTGCTTAAGTGTGTATCTTACCATCTTGTTTTTGGGATCCTCTTCAGAGGCCTTGTACACAGCGCGACTCAAAGTACCGTACGTGATCATTAAATACGGTCCGACACCTCCTGGCGAGAACACCGCCCACGGATCACCGCGGATACCCGAGACATTACCATGCTCCTTGATGGACTCAGTGTTTCCTCGAGGACGGTGTCCTGCTTCCTCTCGTTGAGCGGGTGGGGCACCATGGACTTCTGGCCGCTCTCGGTGAAGAACTTGACCGTGATGTTGCGATGGCCCGACACAGCATGCATGTCCATCCGCCGATCGACCAGCTTGGCCCCCGTGAGGCCAGGGCACCGCTCGTGGACGGACGAGCACGGCTGGTACTTGGCATCAGTGTCGTCCTCGCCGCCGGCGCTCGAAGAATATGAGCCGGTGTCGTTAGACTTCTCGTCGTCGGAATCGAAACGAAAGTCATCATCATCATGCTTCGACGTCTTCGGCTTCGCAAGCTTCGCCTTCTTGCTCTTGCTCGCAACGGCAGCAGAGGCAGAGGAAGCTGCCGTCTTCGCCGCCTTCTCCTGCTTGCGAGCCTCGCGGCCTGCCTTGCCTGTGCTCTTCTTCTGGTCGGCTAGGTCACTCCGACCGAAGCAGCCACCTTCGGGATATCTGCGAGGATCCTGAGCCTGATCCCGATCTCGACGCGCACGCTTGGCGGGCGGATGCGCAGCAGTGCCAGCACCAGATGACCCGGAGCCGGAGGAGCGGACCGCCTTCGGCATGGGCTTGGGCACGGCTCGCGAGGCTCGCGAGGCGTTGGAGGCTGCGGACTCATCAGCAGAGGACGCCGAGTCTGACATCGCCATGGCGGGGTCAGTGGTGAAGTTAGCACGAGCTGGGCTGAGCAGAAGTGATGTCGCGCAGGCGCAGCACAGCACCTGTGCTAGCGCGTCCGAGCAGAAAATGGCTGTCGGCGACACCGACGACACGCGATCAGTTGGCCACGCGATACATGCGCGGCGGCAGTGTTCCCACAGAAACACGAGGGATGCGGGAGGTCTGTCGGATGTCCTCACAGGGCTGTGCGAGATCTTCGGTCGCGGGCCCGCAATACATCACCTCTCATTTCCTCCCACATCCCGCCTACACTGCACCAGCCCGCATCATCAGTCCTCTATCCTCCATATCAGGTCTGAAGACGGTGCCCTGAGTTTCCCTCCCCGCTAGAAAACAACACGCATACATGCAAGACAGTTTGGAGTCCTCTTGTGTTTGTGCACTACGTTTGTTGTTGGGATGTTGAGGGCAGTCTGGCAGTCGCGGGTCAATCTTGGACCCGGCCATGGGCCCCGGCGCGACCGCGTAAACGACGCGAGTGGGCACGAAGGCTCTGAGCGGCGGCCCCTGGAGACATAGAGAACCTCAAAGGGTGTGAGGGGGTAACGCGCCACAGTCAAACTCAACTCAGAAAGGCCTCTGGAGGTGATCAACTTAAGTCGATCGTGAGAATGTGGATCATGGGTCCCAGCACAGGGAGCTTCACCAGGGTAGGGAAGGGAGCGGGGTGACAGCATATTGGAACACGAAGCGAGTACTGTACTGTCTAGACATTTAGCAAGCCGTACTCCTCAGCATCGTCGACCCTCCTCCTCCTCCAGAAACTCAGAAACACATCCTCAGTCTCCTCCTCATCGTCCTTCCTCGGCCACCGCCTCATCATCTTACTCATCCCCAGTCTCATCATCTCCTCGACCGCCGTCGCCGCCGTCGTCGTCGCAGCCGCCGTGCCGTCGACGCGCCAGCGGCCGCCCAATCGCGCGGGGCAAGGAGCTGGGCTGGCCTAGATGCAGCGTGCAACGCGCGACCGCGCCCGCTCCCGGCGCGGACAGGTCGGCGATGCCGCAGACGTCCCAGCCGACGTCCTGGCGGCAGGCCCCCCCCCCGCCGCCGCTCGAGGGCGCCCCGCCCGCGCGAGGACAGCAACGAGGATGGAGCAGGAGGAGGAGGTGGTGGGAGATGATGGCGACAAAGGTCGGGCGGAGGGGGGGGAAGGGGGGGGGGGGGAGGAGGTTGGATGAGGAGGAGGGGAGGGGGGGGGAAGAGGAGGAGGAGGAGGAGGATGAGGAGTTCAAGAGGGAGTTGGGGAGGAGGAAACCCACGCGAGTTTAGGCCCAACTCCCACTGGATACTGGTACGACGCCACGCCATCCCGGCGGTGGCTGACCACATCAGAACAAAGTCAGTGAGTCAGTGGTTAGATAGCCCATGGGATGGCGAGGAGGAGGATGCCAAGGAGGAAGACGAGGAGGAGCGAGAGAACACATGGAAGATGGGATGGGGCTGATGCTGAGGAGGACGGACGATTAAGGGCGTAGACGGCGTAGGCACCAGGGCAACAGGATTTCGGACGACATGCCAGCAATATGATAGCATGTGACTCAGCGAGCTATCTACATGTGATGGCCACGATGGTCAGTCCAGAAGGCATACAGGTACTCTGGAGTTTTGTTTCTGACGGAAACCGAACTTATGGTCTCGCCGAGCCTTATGGCTGTAAAACTTGGTCCAGGGTTCGGGGCTTGTTGGGATGAAAGCGTACCACCGCAGGCCTCATATGTATGCTGTGCCACCCCCTGCATCCGGTGAGCGTCAGCATCATAACACGACACCTCACTGCATCGTATCTGTTTGAGGCCAGAAACAACCGCTTGTAGGTCATAGATATGATGAAACGAAGGGTGGCACCCTGTGGCCCTGGAGAGACCGTGACGAGACGAGACGACTCGACGACATTGAAGAAGCCACACCACGCAGACAGACATGGTCACGATCCGCGTGAGGGGTACGAGGCAGCGCCTGCTCCAAGAAATGAAATCCCAAGGACGCCTGAAGCGGCGCCGACCCCCCCGCACATGGCCCGCGCAATGGCAGTGTGTGGGGGGCTGGGAAGGGGGGCTCCGAGAAGGCCACATAATAAGCGCAGGCGCAGACCCTATGACGGACGGGAGTGGGTGAATAGGTCGGGTAGCAGACAACAGTGTCTGACATGATGGCAATGCGAGGAACACGCAAACACGGCCCACACGATCGCCGATCGCATCGAAGCACATGTCAGCACAGCGCCCCGAACGCGTTGAGTGCCGAGTGTCTTTCACACTGGCGTATGCAGTCGCGGGGTTAGCGACACAATGAGAGCAACATAATTACCCATGTACAGATTGGCAGGGCACGGGCACGGAATTCTTGAATTCACAACACACATTCGCACCCGACACGCGTGTGACAGCAGTCGGCTCGCCCACATGCCAACAGCATGGGTCCTCCTCATCATCCTTGCTCGTCTCCCCCTGATCGGCATAATCACCTCATCATCATAGCGTCCGTCGCCATTCTCCTCACCCTCATCCCTCCCTTCTGCTAAAGCTAAGAACGGCAGTGCCGCTTGCAACTACGGTGCCCTACACCGACACCGAGGTAGTATGTCCTACTAGTAGTAGGTGATCGAGCTAAGCTGAGCTAAATCAGCTGGTCCGCCCTAACCACTTGCGTGAGCGCATACAACCAATGTGCTCCACACACGTGCAAGTGCATAGCATTCCCAGCCTGCATCATGGTGCTCACGCGCGTGCGCCCCTGGCGAGCGGCGGTGAACGAGCACAGGCGATGCCCTCCTCGCCGCGGCAGTGCGAGGCGCTCTTCTACAGGAAAGCCCTGTGTGATCAAGAGCTCCCGCGGCGTGAACCAGCGGTTGATCGCGTCGTAGAAGATCAGCTGGGGGTTGCGGATTACGGCGCTAAGGAAATGTTGTGTACTAGACCAGCCACGACCGTCCTCGTGACTCTGCCCCAGGTTGTGACAGCACGCCCCTGGGGTGGCGTCCTTCTGATACCCGCGCAACTGCCTGAGTTCCCACTCGGTGAGGCTCTCGACGAAGGCGGAGCTGCCAGGTGCGACGTCTGCCAGCGTGACAATTTTTTTGTGGTTTCGGCTGCCAGGCCGACTATGAGCCCACGTGAGCTCTTCCATGAGCTCGGCCGGGGTGGCGATGCAGAACGCAGCCATCGTGCTCCGCAGGGTCCGGTGGAAGATCGGGGCAATGTTGGCACAGCTGCAACGCACCTTTGCGAGACCACACCGAACGATCGCAACCACATGCACCAGAGAACTTCTCTGGTGCATGTGATGTGAGCGTCGTTGTACGATCAGCTCTTCTCTGGCAGAGAAGAGCTGATCGTACAGCGACGCTCACATCACACACTTACAATCAGACCGAAATCATCGACACACGACCGAGGGATCAGATCGGAATGGCTCAGGAAACCCTAAGGTGGCCGATCGGATATCGATTCGATCGATCGGGCATCGAGAGCAACACCTCCATCACGAAAGATTTGTGCAGGAGGACTGTGAAGCGGCGCATGCGCCGCACAGGCCAGCCGAGCTCGCACGGCTCGATGATCACGCTGGTCACGGCGTACATGTCACCGAGGAGTTCTTGCAGCACGTTCACATCAAAACGGTGTGAGTTTTCATGCGCGATGATGGCCTCTTGCATGCGTCGCCGCAATAGTGCCCATACCATGAGCAAGCAGGACGACTGACCTGCGTCACGCTCGTTGGTGCCGATCGGTGCCCAATCTGGACACGGCGTCCCAGCCCAGTGGACCTTCCCGCGGGGGTGCGCACAGTGCGCCCGACACCGCGAGCATGACGCATACTCACGGACAGCAGCATGGCGATTCAGAAGCGGCCGAAGATGATCCAGCGTCACGGCATGTCCCTTGGCGAGCAGGGCGTTGATGGACGCGGCAACGTCGGGCAACCAGAAGGTCATGATGTCGCCGTACATGTGCTCAGGCCGATGACACGGTGATGACATGAGCTCAGCGACAGCGTCTGCTGATATCTCTGTCGCTGTGAGGTGGCGCATTGGCGGAATATGTTTACCAAGGAACTCGCCCAGTGCAACCGCGAGCACAGCTATTGATGTCCCCGGGGCATCGATACCAGAGAATGCAGTGGTGTAGGTGGTAGACGCGAACGCTCGAGCGAGGTCGGCCAACGCGCCATCGCCACACTTCACCGCCAGCGCCCGGATGGCGTCGACTGGCCAGCTGAACATGTCATCGATATCCCTGACGACGGGCTTGACCCACGCTCCATCGTGTAGCTGCAGGGGGGCTCTGGCTGACAGTGGCGGCGTCGGGGGGACGGGCACTGCGCATTGATCAGCGGGCGTCCAGACAGCCGACACCACTGTGGACTGGGAGTCGCTCCTGCCGATGGGTGCGGCGCCAGCATCTGCACCGTCATCACCTGCGTCAGCGTGACCCTCGAACAGCTCGCCGTAGAGAGCAGCATCGTCGGCGCTCAAGCCAGGCGCAAGTGCACGCACCAAGGGCATGTTCTGAAGGTTCCCCTCTGCGTCGGTGGGTTCTTCTTTCACCGCCATGAGTGGCAGTGCCGACGCCGCGACCGCGGCGGGCACGCCGCCGCCGTCACGGGCGGGCGACGCGGCCTGGGGCGAGGCCGCACCAGGCGAATCCGGCGACGGCATGCGGACACTGCGCGCAGATGGCGATAACTCCAGCGCCGCCAGCGCAGAGTAGTCTGGTGACTGCGCGCGTGGCGACGGGGGGGCGCCGTCCTTGAGCGTGC